TCCCCCCCCCCCCCCCCCTTTTCCCTTTTTGGCCCCCCCCCCCCCCCCCCCCGGATTGTTTCGCAGGTTTTTTTGGGGAGGGGGGTGGGGGTTTTCCCTTGGTAGGGGTTCCGGGTTGGCAGGGGGGTCCCCACTGGGGTAAAGTTTTTGTTCTTCTCCTTCCCGGAAGACCCCTTGGGACGGTTTTTGTTTTTGGTGTGGGGGACGCCTTGGTTCCGGGTTCCTTCCGCGGGCAAGGTGAGACATGGCCAAGGGGGGGGGGGGGGGGGGGGGGAGTACTCATGTTTGTCATGCCGTGGTTGTTCGGACCGTTGGCCTCGCACCCCTAAAATGCCGGGACGGAGCGATGTGCCGGGTTTTCGCCGGCCCAGGCTACCGTTTCACGAGGATGAACCAGAAGCTGGTCTTCCTCCTTAGGGTTGCTGTGCAATCCAGATATGACATGGGTTGATTGCGCATCCCGGGGGCGGGAGGTTACAATTCGTCACGTGATAGGCGAGATGGCACGCAGCTGTGTCTCTCCTCTTAACTGTAACTGTTGTGTGCAGTGGTGCAAATGGAAGTCTTGCTGTTCGTTAAAACTGGGCGGCGGCATCACGGCACGGTGTTGGTTGCGTTTTTTTTCTAGGGTACACAGGGGGGTGGGTCATTGTATGGAAATTCTTCACCTCGGAGGTGTAAGAAACGAACAAAAGAGGCCAGAATTCCCGCGACCAATCGTTGCGTTATTCGTGAGATGAGCTGTTTTACCACCTGTCGCTGTCACAATCTCCCCAGAGGCAGCCATGCTGCTTGGGCTCGCAAGTGTGATAGATTACATGCTACATGCAAGTGCTCGCCCTTGCCTCGACAGCCTCGGTGGTTACTTTTGCGTTCCAGCAGTACATCCACAAACTTTTCCGAAGGCGAACAACTCGCCGCACGAAAGATGGACCCCAAGACAGCAGTTCCGCTTTTTTTAGGACTGCTGTTGTTTGTGGTTGTCGCTTACTCAAATCACTACTCATCGCCGCTGCGTTTCGTGTCCTCGTCGTGTGTGTGTGTGTGTGTGTTGGTCCCTGTTTTTTATCGAAACCGCAGTTGGAGATCACCGTGCGCTGTCAGCCCAGGTCGGCGGCGCTCCCCGCGGCCCACACGTGCTTCTTCCAGCTGGACGTTCCAGACTATGACAAGGAGTCCGTGCTGCGGCACAAGCTGCTGCAGGCCGTCAACAACACCGCATCGTTTGACGTCGTATGAAAAAGGATTCGGCGCTGCGGCACAAGCCGCTCAGGCTGTCAATCATAACACCGCATCGTTTGATGTCGTAAAAAAAAAAAAAAAAAAGTGTAGGGCGCACAGCTGCTGCAGGCTGTCAACAGCGTTGCATCGTTTGACGTCGTATGATTGCAACAAGAAACAGTTGTGTTTTTGGTAGAAATCGAAAAACAGGTTTCGACCACAAAGTGGCGTTTTCTGTGCGCTGGATCTCTCCCTCTGCATACTGCGCCCACGGTCAAACGCCGCCCTCATCTTTGACCTGAGGGTCGAATGCGCCAATCCGCTGCCATGTGCGGGACCCACAGACTCAACGCATGTCGCCCTGAAATGCACTCTTACAAGGCCTTCGAGTGAAGCGAGCGATTGGCTCAGGTGTGGGCTGCGCTGATGACGTCAGCGGGGGTCTCCGCGACAGAGCTGTGCAGGCCGGACGACTTCAGGCGGGGTGGTGTGCTGTGTCGCACGCCCAGCAGTTCGTAGGTTGCCAAGGACATTTGGGGTGCATCTTTGGTGTGCGGTATAAAGGAGCGTGGATCACCAGTAGATGTCGAGCCCTTGATGAGCGGTTTCGTTTTTAATTTATGTCGTCTGTTCTTGTAAGGAAATGAAGGAGGTAAGACTAGGCGCCAGCGGACCAGCCTTCGATGGGGAGCCTGCTGCCCCTCCCAACAAATTAGTGCCAAAACTCTGGTGTTCTTCCATCGGACTGGACAGACAGACAAAGTGCGCTAACTCCTGTAGCGGGACAAGCGAGGAAGGGATTTTGGTGAATGATCGCCTAGTCTGCCAGAAGAGCAGTTTGTGATAGCGATTGCTTTTTCCGAGCCGTTGTTCCCGACGACACCACAACCTTGGGGGGGAACCCTTCGGGGCTCGAGAGCACCCTGACCGCGACACCGTCGTATGCTCTTGTTCCTACCGAAGGGTTCCGTGTCTGAATGATACGGAGGGGGGGTGTACGTAGGCAAGGAGGCATTGTTCACGGGGAAAACGGGTCTACGTTCGAGTCGTGCTCCACATATGTTCTTCGTTAGATGGAAGGTGAAAACTCCGTCAACACCCACCAAGACCTATTACGTATAACGGCAGCAGTAGACAGCCGAAAATAATCATCTCTTGCTGTCGCACCTAGTTTGTTCATGCTTTTATTGACGCGTAGCACCAGGCTCAGCATATTTCAAATCTTTCCTCATCCGAGCGTCAACAGAGAAGAACGAGAATCACCGACTCATCAGATCGACGACAACAACAACCAACACGTTTAGGTTGCCCGCCTCACCGTGCGGGCACGAGGTCCGACGGTAGTAAACAGTAAAATCCACTCGTGATGATCAGGCAGCAACAGAACACCCCCACCCGACCCGAAAACCTCACAATCGCTGATAATACTCCACCCCCACCCTGAAAACAACAAAACTCACGCCCCACGTAAATGCCTACTTTCCCGAGTAAATGGTGGTATCGAATAGCACCGTCTGGTTGTCCGACACACCGAACCAACCTTTACCCCAACCGCCTTGAACGAGTGCGCCATCAGTGCTTGCTCCCGTCACACGAAGCAACAAACACGCCACCGACTCCAAAAGCAACCCTCTGGCGAAGAGGCGTGTTTGTTCCACATCTCGCGGTATTCCATACCGCAGAGCAGGCACGTGTCTCCGTGGGGACTGGTGTGCTGTCTGCTCTCAAAACGTCACGACGCACGAAGGCTATGGGTGGACAACAACACAAAAAGAAACAAAGGGAGGGCTCGCTGCCCGCAAGGCAAGAGACGGAGGAAGCACCACTCCCTGTTTCCGGTAACGAGAAGAGAGATGTGCTACGTTTACTTGCGGTCGAAAAAGTTCGCTTTTTCACCACAAAGTTCAACAGGTAGGCAGTCAGCCCCGTTGAAACCACCATCCATTTTTCGAAAACGGGTGTTTTTTTTTCGATCGAAACACTCATCGCTTTTCCGATCAACAGGCGGGCTGCTAGCCCCGTTCGCTGACAACGTCGCCCAAATTTCGACCGACACTCCTGGTTCGGTTCTCGTCCCGTCCCCCCCCAACGATGTCGTGGTGCCTATTCCGTACCGGCACCGTCTTCCGATTTGGCCAGGCCCCCCGGTGCCTCGTGGCACCGTCTGTAGCACTGGGCGTTGCCTCGCTTTTTTGCGTAGCGCGAGTAGCCTCACGGGAAAGACACACGTTCAGCACCACGACGAGCCAAAGGACTACAACGAGCGGCTTGTCGATAGCGAGGGGTCCGTGGGGAAGCTAAACGAAGAGCCCAAAGGATTAATTACAACCGGCCTGTCGATGGCGAGGTGTCCGGGTGGACAAACCACGTGGCGTTCTCGGGGACTGCTGCTGCTGGTTCTCTGCTCGGCGATTGGGGTCATGGTTCGAAGGGCACCCCTGCTGCCTTGAGCCGGTCCTCCAGCTCGTTGACCTCCTTCTGGTTGACCTGTTTCAGCTCCTCGTCCTCGACGGCGTTGACGGCCGTCACCTGACAGAACCAGACCAACAGGCAGCAACGAATACAAAAATATCACCACACCACCATTGCCAACAGCATCGACGACGACGACGAAGTAATCACCACCACAACTGCACTAACGGTAACAACAACAACAACAACAACAACATTCAACCTTAAGAATAGAATACAAGGAGAAAAAATACTAAAAAAAGGCAAGAAAACAGAAAGTGTCCGCCAGGGACGAGCCGAAGTGTGTCGGAATTTTTCGACGTCACCCGGCGGGGTCTTTCATCCCACTTGCTTCACTTGTTTGGCCTAGTTTGATGGTGTGTCTTTGCTCTCATCGAGAGTAGTCACCACAGCGGCGTCGTTTTTTAAGCCAAGCCGGGCAGAACCAGCACACCCGAGAAGGGGAGCGACCTATTGTCGTCATGGATTTTATCAAACGCTGATCGTTGAGAAAACAACGCGTGGCACAAATCAACGACCATTGACAACCGAATTGGTTTTTTAAGCACGCGATATTTCATGGCAACAGTCAAGGAAATTCTGGAACTAGGGGGCAAGACTAGCGTCTAAGAAACGGCAGAGTCGCGAAAAGCGAGAAAGGGAGACCCTACGTCACTCACACAAACACCTGCTTCGATTGCCTCTTGCTTTTAAGGGTATTTTTTTGCTGCATTTTTGCCCATATGGTCACCTCCGGGATGTAGTGCATCAGCATCTTCTCTACCCCGTTCTTGAGGGTCACGGTGGAGCTCGGGCAGCCGACGCAGGAGCCGGCGAGCTGCACGTTGACGGTGCCCGTGTTCGGGTCGAAGCCCCTGTAGAAGATGTCCCCTCCGTCCTCCTGTACCGCCGGTCTCACCTGCCACCCAGAAGGTTTATGTTAATTTTTGTTGTTTAGGGTTGTCTTGTCTTTACATGAAAAACCGTTCCGATCTCTCTACACCCAGTACCTCCTTCTGTCCGTACCGATTTAACACTTGACGCCGTCGATTCCCGTGATCACGGGCTAGCTTAGCCTTAAACGTGGGAAGACCACAAACGCGACACAACACGCGTCCGCGAAGAAACGGATGGACGAGGCAGACACTAGCAAAACAAGGGTCTGCAAGTTGTATTGATGTGTCAGAACGTTTTTCAAGGTGATGCGGGTTCTGTCCACAGTTTGTCGCGCGAACAGAACGTGCGCGTGTCCACCAATGACCGCCGTAGGCGGCCGTGCGTGGTGCTCCTCTTGTTGCCTCTCCACACCGCTACACGGCACGAACGCAGGGGCGGTCTCTTGCGGGCAAAAAAGGCGGCACGCCCTGACCCCGTAAGGCAACTGCGGCTTCGTCAGCTCCCAGTTGATGGTCCTCATTGGGGGAGGCTACACAAACAAGCTCGCCCCAATCGAATCGACCCACAATCAACGGACCAAACCTACAACAATTCCGCGCATACGCTTTCGACTCTCTCCCCCCTCGATGGGACATTTTTAGGTCTCCCGTCGGGCGATCATCAAGGCGCCAAAATAGCCACCACCCCTAATCGCGAGTTGCTGCGCCTTCTCTCACCCGCTCCTGCAAGAGCTCCTTGATCATGGCCACCACTTCATCATCATCGTCGAGAATGGTCGTGTCGGTGACCACCGGCTCGGCCAACATGACCGGCTTGCCCTCTGCAAAGAAGTCCATGATCTCGCCGAATACGACCGGCTTCATGAGGGTCCAGCCGCCCTCGTCGTGCTACCGTCGTTGACGAAGAGGGGCAAATGGTGCTGGTGGTGTTACTGTTGCTGCTGCTGTTATTGTGGTTGCTGTCTTCACACTTTTAAAACTTGACATGCGGCATAGCCTCCATCGAATACTTCCCGTCGTTGAAGAGGGTTCAATCGTGCTGCAGTTGCCATTGTTCCTGCAGCGATCAAATTGGCTGCCTACACACTTCACACATGAAAACTCAACACAAGGTACAACCTCTATCGAGTACCTCCCTTGTCCTCGAGGGGAGCAGAAAAACGAATCTCCGTCGTCACTAGCACCGAAAATCGCGGTGAAAAACTTCGCCTTTCTCGAGAGAGAAGCAACTGCGGCAATGATTCGATGGCTTCGCTGTAGTGGAGGAGACACGGAAAGCTTGTGCTCGGTTGGGTGGACACCTGCCTGTTGAACAACTTTGCGGTGTGTGTGGCCAAAGAAACATCCTGTTCATGTGAGAGTAACACACAATTGATGCCAGAGTTTCTAAAGAAATGCGTTATTTTTCTCGAGAAGACACGCATCCATCCACACCGGTACTGCGGAATATTGCGCAAGGTACATGTAGATGGGGATACTCGGTACAACAGAGACTTGCAAGAAGGCAACCACCGTTACATGCGTATTTTCCATCGCATCCAAGCTTCGAGATGCCACGCCTCGTGCATTCCTTGGGTTAGGTAAAACCAACAAAAGAAAAAGGGTTTTGTAACAACCAGAACACGCAGAGAGAAGGATGGGAATCGACCATGCCAGCCAGCTCCCTCCCCGAGCGCTACCTATTGCCCCATTCCCCGCGGTCCGAGCTTCGACCCGTCGTGTTGTAAAATCACGCTATAAACAGCAAGCAGTGGGTGAATGTATCACCAACATCAGCACCAAAGCGAGGATGCTGAGCTCGACTCTTGTCGCCAACATTTCGCGAATCGAACCCTCCAAATAGACATCCAATGGGTGGAGTCTCCGCTTGGTAGAGGTGAGACTGGACCCCCCCTCCTCTCTCTTCACCTTGGAAATGGTGATGAAGTCGGTTCCGAGAAAGACGCCCGCAACACCCTCCAAGCTCAGTAGAGCGACCGCCAAAGGACTCTGGCTGCTTAGGACGGACGGGGTGGTCATGTTGTTGGTGGTTGGTTCGGAATGTCATGATAGCACAGCGTTCAACAAGTACGGGAGAATTGAGCACACGTGCTGCGAGCAGCTTTCTAGAACATATACATTTACTCACAGAAAACTTGCTCGTTCGAGATAATACCACAGTACTACAGTCGAAGGGGCGTGTTCAAGTATCAGCAGTAGCGAGTGTTGACTAAAAGCTTTACACCTCAGGCAAGGGTGCCCGAAAAAGATTTCTCCGACATCTACGTACCCATTTTCTTATTTGGGAGTTTTTTTTTGGGGGGGGTACCGGTACTCGAATTCCAATATAAAAGCATAGGGGGCCCACGGTGGGGAACCATTTTTTCCGTGGGGTACCCTATGCACGAGCTAGGACCCTTTCTTGCGAACCCCGAAGCCATGATCACACAAATGGGAACGTAGCACACCAAGAGAGCACCTACTCCACTCAAACTATCTATGCGTGTAACGTCGTCACTTGTTGCACACGAACGTCGTCACTTGTTGTACACGACACGTCGCACATAAGCTACTTGCGTGCCGTGGGCTCTAAGCCCCATGAGAAGCACAAAGTCGAAAACCTTTTTTCGGCCCTCCCGGGGGGGGGGGGGTACGTAGGTGTTGGAGAACTTTTTTTTCGGGCACCCTTTCCTCAGGCAAGGAAAAGAGACCCAGCAGTGAGGCCATTTCTTACGGTTCTTTGTTGGAGCTGTCTTCTTCTTTTTCCTTCTCAAAAAAAGACAACTGGCCACAGAACCCCTTCTTAGGCCACTTGTTAAGCTGTCCTTTTTTGGGCTGTCTTTTTCTCAAAAAGGGACAACTGGCCAAAGAACCACTTGTTACGTTGTCTTTTTTTGCATTTTTGGACCTTCGATAAAGGGACAGAAGAAAAAGACAGCGCCATCCTGTCTCTTTTCGGGCAACTTTGCGACAGGATGGGACTGTCTTTTTTTGTTGCCCTTTTTCTGTCACAACACATGACACTTGCCCACAAACTTGAATATCTCGACGGATGATCCCCGCAAACTCTAACGGTATTCGCACGAGTCGTGTCATGTGACTGGTACGGAGTCAGTAGCCTCGGCGATAGACGTAATGTTGTCATTCGGCTGACCAGGTGGACAACCCGGTGTGTGCGGCAAACAAGCGGCAAACGAGCCGAACGAGCCTGGACGCAGCAGCGGTGGGTCTTTTTGGTGCACAGTCAACTTTTGCGAACCCAACTTCTGGGCGACCTATAGCGTCCTAGTCTGTATCAATCACCACACAAGACGAATCAGACGCACAGCTCATGGCGGATACCTTTGTCATCGCTGTTGCTTCGGTGTGTGACGAGGGAGCATCGATAAACCAAAGTTGCAACACGGGAAAAAGAACAAAAAATATGCTTGGAGACGTGGCGGGTCATTTTTCCCGCTTGTCCACCACTCTCGCGCTCACAACCTCTGACCGCCCGTCAGCCTCCTGGTCTGTATCAACCACCACACAAGACGGACCATACACATAGCTCGTGGCGGATACCTTTGTCATCGCTGTTGTTTCAGTGTGTGGCGAGGGAGCATCCATGAACCAAAGTTGCGGCATGGGCAAAAAAGAGCAAAAAGAGCTGGTTGTTGGCGCGGTGGGGTTTTTCAAGGTGCTGTTGACTCTCGCCACCTCAGTTGCCGTGCCTCCCACTGCCCTGTGGTCTCGATCAGCCGCCACACAAGGCGGACCAAGCACCCAGCTCGCGGGGGATAGCTTTACAGTTGCTGATGCTTCGCTCTGTGCGGAGATATCACCGAAAAACCAACTCGGTGCCAAGGTACTTAATGTGTGACGAACGGCCGTTGCACTTGTTGCAGGGTCATTTTTTTTGGCGGATGAGCAAAAAGGATCGACCAGCACCGTAACAAGGGGGTCATCTTTTTGCTAGATTATTTTTTGGTTCGTCCCTTTTTGAGAAAAAGACAGCCCAAAAAAAGACAGCTTAACAACGGTGTCTTTTTTCAGGGAAAAAAGGCCAACAAAAAAAGACAACCTGTTTTGGACACCCATCCTGTCTTTTTCTGGGGCAGTTTTGGTTAAGTCGGGGCTGTCTTTTTCTGTGGTCTTTTTTTGGTCACAACCACATGACGCTACCTACAAATCTCTCGACGGTTGATCCCCGCAAACTCTAACGGTGTTCACACGAGCAGTGTCATGTGACTGGTGCAGACTCAGTAGCATCAGCGGTAGCGTGCTTTTTCATTCGGCTGGACCAAGTGGACAACCCGATGTGTGCGGCGCAAACAAGCGGCAAACGAACCGAGAGAGTCTGGACGCAGCAGCGGGGGGTCTTTGTTGGTGTGCTGTCAACTTTTGCGAACCCAACTTTTGGGCGCGCTATAGCCTCCTGATCTGTGTCAACCACCACACAAGACGGACCATACGCGCAGCTCATGACGGATACCTTTGCCATCGCTGTTGCTGGAGTGGGCGGCGAGGGAGCATCGATAAACCAAAGTTGCGACACGGGCGGAAAGAGCAAAAAAAATTGCTTGAAGACGAGGCGGGTCATTTTTCCCGCTTGTTCACGACTCTTGCGCTCACAATTTTTGAGCGCCCTTCAGCCTCCTGGTCTGTATCAACCACCACACAAGGCGGACCATACACACAGCTCATGGCGGATACCTTTGTCATCGCTGGTGCTGGAGTGGGTGGCGAGGGGGCATCGAGAAACCAAAGTTGCGACACTGGCCAAAGAGCAAAAAAAACTGGTTGCTGGCGCGGTGGTTGTTTTTCCGGTGTGCTGTTGACCCTCGCCACCTCAGTTTCCGTGCCTCCAATCGCCCTGTGGTCTCTAACAGCTACCACCCAAGACGGACCATACACACAGCTCATGGCGGATGCCTTTGTCATCGCTGTTGCTTCACTGTATGCGGAGATATCACCGAATCACCATAGCGGTGGAAGGTGTATGTATGTGTGACAAGCGGCCGTTGCAGGGTCTCTTTTTTTCGGTCGATGACTCGGAATAGAAAAAAGGATGGACCAGCACCGCAAGAAGGGGGCCATCTTTTTTTTAGATCATTTTTTGGGCTGCCTCTTTTGGGGGGAAAAATATCTAATAAAAAAGACACCTTGTAACTTGTAACAAATGGCCTGAAGACGCTCGAATGATCCATTCATTCCAGGTTCTTACCAAAACGAAGAGCTCTCCTCACCCCGATTGTTCCGCTACACGTACACACGATAGAGGTGGCGCTGACACAAAACGTCTCGCAAAATTCTCATAACCGACGCCACCCCCCCCCCCCCCCCCCCAAGTGCCCCCTGGCCCCCTCTTTTCCCTATCATCGGGGGGGAAATACACCCCCGTTCCCTGTTCAACGGGGAGCACAGGGCGGCCCGGGAAGAAATTGAGGGAATTGGGGTTGGGCGTTGGCTCCCTCTGGAAGAAAAAACTTCTGGAATGT